TAAAAGTTTTGTCAAAATATGTTGTCAGCCATGAATTGTTCTTTTAGTTTCTTGGATTAGTCGTAGGTTCTCCTTATATGCAGCTTGAGAAGCGATGTAACTGTAGAAATTTTCTATTTATGCATCTTCTCGTTTAGGCTCCTGATCAAGATGGCTCCTAGAATTTCAGCATTCTATAGATTTTCCTGCTGCTAAGTAAGCAAATGAATGTGCGATGTGTTAATATTATTTAGGAGAAACGTGTGTACCCATGAATGCCTGCAGGCTTTAGCAAGCATCAGAACATCGAATGTGGAGTAGCAAGAGACCAAAATAAAATCCAGCAATGAGTGAAGACTCTGCTTATAAGAAGGAATCGAGCTATCTGAGCTCAGTAACTGGAGCCCATGCTTGGCACACTCCTCATGGATGGGGCCGTTGATTAATCGAGGCGCTTCACTTATTTAAAAGAAAAAATAATTACCATATGATATGATGAACTCTCAATAGTCATCTAAGCGATCACCATATTGTATGTTTGGAATCTCCTCAAAGATTTTGGATGGCATCACCACTTCATTTTCTGCAGACTTTTCAGTGAATGTTCGGTATCTGATTACAGGAAATCCTTTCAGGATATTAGGTGCGTTTGGTTCAGCATTTCCAATAGATTTTGGGAAAATGCAATGTAGTTTAGCGTAAATCGCTTTGGAGAAATGCAAAGACTGTTTAGTAAATTATGCTTTGAGAAGCAATTTCAAAAGAAAGTTGTTTGGTGAAAACACATTTGGAAAGTTCCTTTGGTGATTAATTTAAGCTTTTTAATTTTTAATTTATCTAAAATTGCAAAAAAAAAATTAATTAAATATTGACAATAATGTTAAAAGATATCGTTTAAACAATTTTATTGAAAAAATAAATTTTTTCTGGCTAAAAAAATTCAAATGGAAAATTCACATCAAAGTGGTCTCCTTCTCAATTAAAAAAAGAATACTTTGATTACAATAATTGTGGTAACATATGCCCCGACAAAAGAAATTCATTATCTTTAAAGATTACAATCATCCTTAAATATTTCCGAAACTTATAGTTATTTGATCACATAAATGTGACGTGTCAGAAGCAGAGTCATCATTTGAAGCACTACCCTCCTCATTTACATCATCAGTAAATAAATTGGGATCCTAATCTACTTCTACAAAATGTGCATCATTGAGGGCATTTCTTCATATACAATTGTGCAAAGTCATTGCCGCTATCACAATTTTCATTTACTTTTTGTATGGATAACTTGGCATAGTCTTTAGAATTTCACTTCTTTTTCAATACGCTAAAGGCATGCTCAATTTCTGATCGCAGTGTGGAGTGCGCATGGTTCAACACTTCTTTATAGCCTGTAGGTGCAGGATCTCGTTGAAACTCAAGCAAATGATATCTAACTTCTTTGTATAAACTCAAATAATTCGTGAGATTTGGATATCTAGCATCTACTAAATAGTATTTACCTACACAAAAATATTGCAAATTAAATCAATATATATTACATACATATATTAATTAATGTATAAAAACCATTAATTAATTAACCTTTAGGAGGATGAGGAAATTGTAAATCACGTCTCCTAATGGCTTCATAGAAGATACGAGTATCATGAGTTGTTCTTTCCCAACTGGTCCAAACATAAGTACAATTTTATGTTGAAATTCCATACAGCCAATACATTTTGCGTCGGTGTTCCTTTTCGACCGATAAAACGAAGTTGGTTGCCCATAGGTACCATGACTGGGATATGTGTACTATCTATAGCTCCAATGCAATCCTAAAAAAAGAATGTAAATATTACTTGATTGATATTTAGTTTGTGTTTTCTATTGTATAATTGTAACTTACCTTAAAACGTGGATAAAATCTTTGATTATTCTTTATCTTCATTGGAACTTCCTTAAATTGTCGATTGGATGGTTAGATCAAATCTACTTCCATTTCACATACTTTATCCAAACTAAGCTAAATAGCTCGCATATGGTTTACCCAGAGTGCTAAAAGCACTCTTGTGCTAATATGTTACCTACACCATCTCCTAAAATATGAAGAAACATTTCTAGCATTTCTACAACATTAGATCCTTGGAGATCATATCGCGTCACTAAAGCACGCCTTAAATTATTAAATACAGTTCTATCCATTCTAAACATTCGAAAACACCTTATCGGGTTAACATCGATGCCCATTAACTCTTTTAACTATTCATTTCTTGTGTATGATGAGGTCATGCACGGTTTTTTGTGACGGTATGTTGCTTGATAAACAGCTCCCGTATGCACAGTTGCACAGAGTAGCCAATATTTCTCTTCCTCTTTTTCATGATTTTCCCTTTCAGGATAATCATCCATAACTAGTTAAAGTAACAAAAGAATGAGAATAAGAGATGTAATACTTATCGACCATCATATATATGCAAACTCCACTCAATAAAGAGAACACTATTTAAAAACATGTCTTACAATAGAACATAAATATGTATCACCAACTAGCACATATAAGTAGCGCAAATAGGTCTCACATTACAGTAATGTAGCATTTGAAAGAATTCAAATAAGTAGCTAACTACTAGTGATGACTACATTGTGCGAACTTATACTTGATCCATTCGACTTTTTCTTGATCGCCATATAAGTTCATGAAGATTTGCCTATTGTCTTTCTTTTCTACAAAAAGATCTGGTGACAAAAAAGTATAATTCTTAGTCTTACTTAATCTCATGTATGGTTTTCAACGTCTCTATGATTTCTTTGTAAGGATCAAACTCCCTTGCATGGCTCCTACTCTCAATAGCTGAACAAATTCTATTCATTTGTGTTGCTAGTAGCAGCAATGGTCAATTTCTTTTGTTTCTTTCCTTATAATTGCCTCACCGAACTCTGCGACATTCTTTTATGGCTTTGAGTCTATTCAACAATCTTTTCACCTATATTACACTCTATATTATTATCGGTTGATCTTGCACAATCATCAATATCAAGTTGTGTGGCCACAATATCCTCATCATTCATCACTTGTATCAATGATATTCTTTTTTGAATCCCATCCCAATCCTGTTTCCTTCAAAACCAATGCCCTCCATCTTTTCCATTCTTCCTTAATATTATCTCACTTACTCTTCATTTGACTTTTATCATACTTGCCCCTTAGGTCCTCAAGCCTCTTAATTATGATTGTCTTCCATCCCTTTTGTTGTTTGCAGGACGATTGTCATTATCAATTTGTTCAGCGCACAACTTACAAATGGTTTCTACATCTTCCAGGCTCCAAAATGCTTTTTCCTTTGATGAAGTCACACGAACAAATTTGAATGATGAGAACAAGCTAATAGAAACAAAGAATGTTATGCCCTAATCATCCACCTACATGCTTAATCCTTGAACCAGATTCACAACTAGAATCAATATCGATATGAGTAAACAAATTATCCAATTTAAGCACTGTGCTTCACTTACAATGAAAGCCATTACAATGATTAGAATTTGGCTGCAAAACGCAAGTCAAATGCACTTAAAACAACACATTAACCGGGTGTTTATGAATAAAAGAATAGCCACAGCAAACGGCATGTTACTCACTGAACACAGAAGCAAGGAAAGATCAGCACATATCCGTGCTCATTGTTGTTGTAGATTAAAATCTAGGCCTTTGGCTACAATAAACAAACGATTACATGACTAAAAACAAGGGAACATGCATTTAGAAAGACTGGCCTAAGTGCATAATTTTGTGATGCTAAAAAACCGTGAACTTTATGTAGTGCAAAAATAGGTGCTCCTGCTGATTGCTCAGCAAAGGTAAGAATTAAGAAACACCCAACTTCTTTCTCGAGAGGGTTGACAATAAGATACATCATTTAGCAATACTAGCTCCATGGTACTATAACGACGGTTCTACAATATCTCAGGTAAACAAACCACAATATTTCCTTTTGAAATTTGACAATCTTGATCTCATTCACATTAGAAATCACATTCAACTATTTAGTACATAACTCAGCTCGAGATCATGAAATAACTCTCAACACTCAAAAGGTTGTCCCTCCAAGATCCAGAGCATAAAACAACCCCTTCTCATTCCTTCAAAGTGCATTTTTTCATCAGGGCACAAGTAGAGTACACAACAGACAAAATTGCTTATTATATCCACTGATACAAAATTGAAACCATAAAAAAACCATTTAAAACCTAGAAATGGAAACCAAAATATTATGTAAACTAGATGAAAAACACTAAAATTTAAGAGAAGCCAAAATTAAAAGCTCATCATTTTTCTAAAAGAGCACTAAAAACTGCTACCCTATTCATGATACTCTCAATAGGAAGAATCAGTCCTTGGTACTAACTCAGTCCGAGATCAAGAGGGCACAATCAGCAACACCCAAAAGGTCCAAGCTCATAGATTCACCCAAAAGCAAGCAACTTCAGCCCCGAAAAGCGGGGAAAAAGAAAACCCAAAAACGAGGCGAATGAGAAATTGAACCCGTAGAGGGGCAGTCGCGAGGGAGAGAGCGAGCGAAGGAGCGCGGTCGAGCAAGGGAGAGAGTGAGCGAAGGAGCGCCGTCAAGCGAGAGAGCGGACAAGAGGGAGAGGAAGCAGATGCGAGGGAGTAGGAAAGGGGCAAAAGAGACACGAGGGCTTTCAGGAGGAGACTAGGGTTTTGTTTTTTAAATGGGGGTAAACTTGGATTTCTATTGAGTTTTTTAGGGCAAAAAAAGAACTCGACAAAATTTCATTAATAAAGGGTTTAAGCATTCCGAAAATGCTAAAAGCTCAATACTAGCCACTACCAATATCGAGCTTTCAGCCTTCCCAAGGCCAGCTTTCACCCCAAAGCCCCTTGGAGAATAGTTGCCACGTACCCCAAATTTTCTCAAATGGGCTTTCAAAATGCTGAACCAAATGCACCCGTCATCATCTCGCCAATTTTTTTTTTTTTAGAATGGAACAAGGGATTGAGCGGCAAAGACCCCACCACAATGTACATTCTTAGCTGATGATCAACGTGCTTTAGTAATCACTGCAAACAGCACTTTTTGAGCTCCCTTTATTGGCCTAAGAATAGTCTTAGACGCATAGTGTTAGGAAATATGTTATTGAGGGTAGAATAGTCATTTTATGTTTAGAGAGTTTGCTCAAATATATATAAAAGAAATTATTACCTTAAACATGGTATCAAAGCCTATAGAAAAACGTTCATCCCTTGAGGTCATCGGAGCAACTGCCGTCGCCGTCGGCAGAACCTTAGTGTGCGATTCTCTTCACCCACTCACTTCCACTGACTCCTCCATCTCGTTACAGGCCTGCGACCACTCTGTCGTCTTTGCCAAGCCTCGATTCGGCCTCGTCCATCGTTGGCCATCTCGGTCAAGCCTCAATTCGTCGCAATCGAGTCAACATTGCTATGCGAGTTGCTATCCTAGGGTTTCTAAAGCTGCCAACTACTCAGCCTTCCTTCGATTGACACTGTAAATATTGCTGAAGCCGCCGCTGAAGCAGCCTAGGTCGAAACTAGGGTCAATTGCTAGGGTTTGAAGCGAAGCTATAAAAAAATTTGTTGTCCAGTGCTCTCATACGGTTTCTTGTTGCATCCTATTGATCCTTGAAGTGTTAGATGGTTTGTGGTAATTTTTCGATACCAATTCGATGATTTTATCAGTTTTCGATAAATTCTTGTGATTAGTGGTGATTCAATTGAACCCTCATTTGTGGTGATTATTTTATGGTTGATTATGTTAGTGGAGTTAAGTGATTGGTTATTGTGACGTTGTTCTTGGGTTCAATCGTATACTTTGTTCACTGATGGCTGTTCCTCGATCCTCTGCTAGTTTGACACATTCTCAATTGACCTCTGTCAAGTTGGATGGAACTAATTATCCATTTTGGTCTAAAGCTGTCAAAGTTTATCTTACTGCCACCAACCAGCATGATTATCTCAAGTCTATGGTCCCCTTAGATCAGAGTAAGGAAGCTGATTGGATTGCTGGACATGCAATGATCCATACTCTTTTATGGAATAGTATGGATCCTAAAATTAGTCCTCACTTCGTTTGGTGCAACTCTGCCAAGGAAGTTTGGGAAAAGTGTGCCTTACTTTATTTTGGATAGAATAATATGACACGAGTGTGTGACACGTTGGAGGCACTATTTGATCTTCAGCGTGGAGATCGGTCTTTATCTGAGTATTATGCTTGTTTCATGAAACTTTGTCGGCCATTGGATACTTATCTTCCATTTTCGGACGATCCGACTATTCTAGTCAAACGCCAAGAGGATCTTCAAGTTATATTGTTTCTCAAGGCAATGGGACATGAATATTCCTCCCTTAACCATATTATATCTTAGAGCTCCCTTCCTACAGTGAATGAGGTTTTCTCCCAAGCACTTCATTTGATATCTGCTGAAAAAATTTCCATCACGACTTTGGAGATAAGTGCTATGAATTCTCATGGCTCTAGTGGACATGGAATCCTCAGTCATGGTTGCCGGAGTCGTGGATGCGGTTTTGCTCAGAGTGGAGGTTGTAGAGGTTGTGATGGAGGCATTGGTGGTCGTGGCTCTCCCTATTGTAATCATTGTCAAAGGGCAAGACATACAAAGGCTTATTGCTACACCCTTCATCCCGAGTTTTTTCCTACTCTTGCTACCTATGTAGAGGTGGAAGAGTCTCCCTCACTGGCTCCACCAATTTCTACTAGTGTGTAGAATACAGGTGATTCTGTTACATTGGCACGTGCTGAGTATGATGCATGGGTTCGCTCCCAACATGTGATAGGCTCTTCACCTCCTACTGCAACTCAGGCATAAACCTCAAAAGGTAATTCGTCTTGTTTACTTTTTGTAGCGTCCGACTTATGGGTTATAGACTTTGGAGCTACTCATCATTTTACTGGTAAGTCTAAGTTGTCTTCATTTTATTCCACATCACCCGGGGTGTCTAATTCTATTACATTAGCTGATGGGTCACAATTTTAGGTTACTGATACTACAGTTGCTCATTTGAGTCCTCTCTTTCTTTGTTATATGTCAATCATCTCAAATCTCCACATAATTTGATTTCTGTTAGTTCGTAAACTAAAGAACTAAATTGTTCAGTGACCCTTCCTCTTCTCGTTGTGTCTTTTCAGGATATCAGGACTAGACAGATGATTGGTGGGGGACATGAATCAAATGGTCTTAACTACCTTGACAAGAAGGTACTAACTGCTGCAGTTGTGAAGTATAATGATGTGAATCGGATGCATTGTCGTGCTGATCATCCGCCACCGGACATTCTTCGGTGTTTATTTTCTGAGACTGAGTCAGTGAGTTCTTTTCAGTATGAAGCTTGTTAGTTTGGTAGACACCATAGGGTCTCTTTTTCTTCTCGCATTCAAAATCGTGTCTAGTCCATTTAAGCTGGTTCACTTAGATATATGGGGTCCGTGTCATGTTTCTGATTTCTTTAGTTTAAGATATTTTGTTACATTTGTGGATTATTTTTCCCGAATGACTTGGTTGTTTTTTATAAAAGACTATACTGAGATTTTTCATTGCTTTTGCGTATTCTATTTTGAAGTGTTGAATCAGTATCATACTTCTGTCAAAACTTTGTGATTAGATAATGCCAAAGAGTATCTTGCCACCACTTCTGGTTTTAAACCTTTTCTTGATTCTCATGGTATTATTCATTAGGCTTTCTGCTCATACACTCTACAGTAAAAAGGTGTAACGAAAAAATCGACATCTTCTTGATGTTACTCATTGCCTCATGTTTTACATGCATCTACCTAAAACTTTTTGCGGCCATACTATCCTTACAGCCTGCTATTTAATTAATTGGCTTCTAACTGATGTTTTTCAAGGGTGACGTCGTTCTCTATTTTACATCCAAATTGTCCTCCCTTTCCCCTCTACGAATCTTTGGTTGTGATTGTTTTGTACATTGTCTTACTCTAGGTCTTGATAAGTTGGATTATCGTGTTGAGAGATGTGTGTTTGTAGGATACTCTCGAACTCAGAAGGGCTACAAATGTTATAGTCCTACTTGTCGTCGTGTGTTCGTGTCGGCGGATGTGACATTCTTTGAGGACCAAACATATTATAATGCTCAGATGGTCCCTACGGCGAATCCTAATGGTGACGGGTGTGTCTTACTGACATTCCACAACTCTCACTTCCTCCAGCACCGTCCAGAGGATTTCAGTGTGCTGACTTACCTATCATCGGTATGGTGCAGTTCTCAATACAATAGTACAGCCTTCACCGACACATGATTCATCTGTTCACTCATTAGTTGTTGCACCATCCTCTGATCTTGATCCGTCTATTGCTACTTGGAAAGGTACACGCTCTTGTATTGGTTATCATGTGGATCGTTATGCTCCTTATTCTGGTCTTTATATTTGTCTTAGTACTCATCATCCTATTTTCAATTTTTTGTCATATGATCGTTTATCTCCTATCGTCTCTACCTTTGTCTTGTTCTTGTCCTCTATTACTGTGCCTAGTGATTTTGTTGAAGCTCTTGCTCATCTTGGATGGTGGCAAGCCATGGAGGATAAATGAAGGCGCTCATCAATAAACCGCACTTGATAGCTCACTTCCTTACCTGTGGGGAAGCAATCTGTGAGTTGTCGTTGGGTTTTCACTGTTAAGGTTTACCCTGATGTCACTCTTGATCGATTGAAGGCTCGGTTGGCTGCAAAATGATATACTCAAACGTATGTTGTTGATTGTGATGACACTTTCTCACCTGTGACCAAAATCCCATATGTTCATGTCTTTATTACCCTAGCGGCACGCTTTGGCTGGCTTCTTCATCAGTTGGATGTCCAAAATGCCTTCTTACATGGTGATTTGGCTGAGGAAGTATACATAGAGCAACCACTTGAGTTTGTTGCTCAAGAGGAGAATTTGGTATGTCATTTACATAAGGTTTTGTATGGGACTCAAGCAATTTTCTCGTGCTTGGTTTGATAGGTTCAGTGATGCTGTTGTCAAGTTCAGATTAAAACAGTGTCAAGTAGATCATTCAGTCTTTAGTTATGTTTCCTCATCTGGTTGTATCCTTCAAGTTGTATATGTAGATGATATTATCATTACTGGTAGTGATTCAGATGGTATTCAACGACTTAAGTAGTTTCTGCATACAGAGTTTAATACTAAGGATCTGATACGTTTGCGATACTTCCTTGTATTGAGGTTATCTACTCACATGCAAGTATCAATTTGTCACTGCAAAAATATTTACTTGCCATTCTTGATGAGGTTTGATTTCTTGGAGCAAAGCTGGTTGATACTCCTATGTAACGCAATGTGAAACTTGATGTAGAACATGGAGAATTATTACATGATCTTGTGAAATATCGGAGATTAGTGGGTGAGTTGAACTATCTTACCATCACAAGACCTGATATATTTTTTGCTGTCAGTGTAATGAGTTGGTTCACGAGTTCTCCTCGTACTACTCATTGGGATGCTGTTATTCAGATTATCAAGTACTTGAAGGGAGCACCGGGTAAAGAACTACTTTTAAAAAATTATGGCTATCTGTATACTATATGTATCTCTGATGCAAATTGGACTGGATGTCCAACTTATAGGAGATCTATGTTGGGCTATTGTGTGTTTCTTAGAGGTAATTTAGTTGCTTGGAACAGCAAGAAACATGTGGTTTCTCGATCAAGTGCTGAAGCAAAATATAAAGCTATGACATGTGACAGGTGAATTGCTCTAGTAAAGGATGTTATTGTCGAAAATTGGCATGTCAACATCGGACCCATCAATATTATATTGATATAATCAATCAGCTATTCATATTGCAAACAATCCTCTCTTCCATGAGTGAACCAAGCATATTAAGGTTGATTGTCACTTTGTACGAGAAAAAGTTCAGAAATGGGAAATCATTCGTCAACATGCAAGGACAAAGGATCAACTTGCAGATTTCTTGACTAAATCTATACGGGAGAGTAGAGCGAGTATTTTATGTAACAAGTTGATATTATTTGATATCACATTCCAACTTGACGGGAGTGTTAGGAAGTATGTTAGGGAGGCTATCTTACATCAGCTGTAGATCATGAACATTTTATCTTTGTTATCCTGCAGTGAACTCTTAATTAAGTAGCTAGTTATGATTTCTTTTTATAATTTATCGTGGAAAAGAAAACTAGAAAGAAAAAGAAATGCAACCGCTATAGATCTAACTTCTCTTTCCGAACATCTTGTAGACCTAAATTTCATGGATTTACAGCCCTACGCTGAAACCCCACCTCTAGTGGGATAGAGCTTGCGACTTCGCATTTTTAACTAAAGAACTACCACCAAACAGTCATCACTTAGTACTCCTCTTAGGTATGTGTCTACATGTGTTCAGGCTGGTTCTTAACAAATCATATCAATGCCGGGCACGAGCCAAAAATTTTAGAAATAAGTACCACGTACAATACACACATCCACGCCACCATGGATGTGAGCGCAATAAGCAGGGCAGGTTGAAACACCTCAATAGTCAATACAACACAGGCCCACCACTACTTGAAAACTTTTCTTGACGATTTACAATCGTAGCATTTGGGTCAAATCGTCATATAATTGATGCACACAGGTTGAAGACAATACCGATGATAGGCGGAGTCCTGATTGACATTTACCGGTGGGGGTCACATAATCATCATGATGCACGAGAAGAAGGTAAGGACTAACCATTTATTCTTTCTAACGAGCTTCATGCATGGAGCATATCAGAAAGATTCAACTGTAGGTAGAAGTCGAGGAGTACGGGAGAAAAAAGAGGAGACGCACAAAAATGCATCCATTGTTTTGGAACAGTGGAGGAATCGCTAGGTGAAACTGTGATTTTTATTATGTGAAGAATGTTGTGACAAAAAATTGTTTGGGAGATTAAAATACAAATCAATGGAATAAAAAACCCGGGATGTCACCTCTATTTAGGCTGTTGTTCTAGCTCTCTGTTGCTAATTTCTTTCTGCGGACTCTCACTGGACTCCTCGATGCCTGTTGGTTTTCCCTGTCAAAAAGAAACCCTAAATTCACAAGGAAACACGTATGCAGAGAGAGAGAGAGAGAGAGAGAGAGAGAGAAATATAAGAAAAGTGGGAGGAAGAAAAAAGCAAGCAAAAGAACTATCCCAGTACTGCCACAACTGAGGTAAATGCATTTTACTAGAAATGTTCAATGTGGTGTAAACAATAACAAAAACTGGATGAGGATAAAAAGTTAGACAAATTGCCATGGTTCTGTGGAGAACTTCATAACCAAATCTGCAAGATTTGGTGAGTATTCATGGGAAGTGGGCATTAATTGTTAAGAGGACTTGGATGTAAAGTAGGCTTGAGAAATAGTTGGTCCTCTTGCTCCCCTTTTGGATAAACCAATCCTTGATTATCAGGCGGGAAAAACTTAAGGTACGCAATAAAATGAGCACCTTGTTTCTGTCACGCCAGCCAAGTCCAAAAAGACCTATCCTTCTTGCGGGAATTTCCTGTGCAGAGCTCTGATTACGGGCAGACCTACAAGACTACATTTGTTATGCATCAAATCACTTGAAAACAAAAGACATGATGAAAAAAATTTATCTTCTCCTTTACTTGTGCAAAGCATCTTAATGGGGACTTCATGTATTGAGAGAGCTGCCACTTCATTTCAGGAGTGCAGTATTAACATAAAATAAATCTTTAAGGAGGCCAAACTGAAGACCATTGAAGACATCATCAGTCAAAATTTTAGAACATTAAAGCTGTGCTATATGTCATCTTCCTTGGTAAATTTGTAGTCTTCGTGAACCGCCCCCAACCCCACGCGGAGCAAAAGAAAAAGAAAAAGAGTAGAGGAAGACCGGACAGGTGTGTGGTTGTTTATATCCTTCTACTTTCCCACTGAACTTAATCATCTGTCTCCTTTAAGGGTGAAGTACCTTACAACGTAATAACCAAAATAAATTAGTCACTCTTGGATAACAAAATGAGAGATAAGACGTTTCTGTCTACACTCCCCGCAAGCATTATGTGTATCCAACGTTCACTTGTGGATCACCATACGTCTTGGAATACACATGAGTCCATTTTATGCGCGACTATCCAGAAAACATGATGGATGGCAAAGAGTGGGCAACGAGGGACGAAAGAGTGCACATGCAAACATAAGGTGATGTTATGCGAGTCATTTATATACCCTGGAGATTGATGTGCTTTATTCTGGCCAGATTCATATTGCAAGGTAGCCTCCAGCATTGATTCTGCCATGACCGCCCTCTTTTCCATCTGAGCCAGGGAAATCATAGCCTTCTCATATTTTTCCTGCATGATGTCCTAGCGGTTACAACACATGCACACATAAAGGAAATAGCCCACTATTTTTGGACCATCCTTATCAGCTCCAGCTATCTAAAATTTGTCACCAAGATAAAAGTTCAACGGCCTAACAAGTAGAACTTCCCAATTTTGAACAGAAAGAAGCAGCAGCGAAAACAATGACATGATGACGACAACAACAGCAATGACAGCAAGAAGAATCCTTATCAAAAGCCAAGTGGGGGCTTTCCAATTTTGAACTTCTAAAAAGAACTAAATATGGAGCAATAGCATCCCATGAACTTCCATTAAAAAATTTAAATAGATCAAGTTTTCAAAGATCCTTTTAGCTCTGTTTTCCAAGAACTAGTTTACATTTATGAGCGACACAAATTTTACTCCTGGAATCGCATAATCCACCATTTAAAAAAAAATTAAAGTCGATCTAATTGTGCGTTAAATACGCATGAAAAAAAAACAGCAATTTACTTTAACAATGCACAGGAGAATGACATCCAAAATGCACTGGACTCATGTTTTTTGCTTCTTTACATCTAGTAGTTATTGTTTGCAAAATCTATGATCGAGTCAAGTCTATTAAAATATTCTGAGAAGTCTTCAGATTTCATTGGGTCCATTAAGCTTCACAAGTTTTATAGCTATCTAAATTTTTGTCCTCCCCCCAAAATACACGTCTAAAATGACCCTTTCTAAGAGCAAAATCCCATTAATTTGATTTGTAAACGTCTCAAATGCGTCCCTGATGAAAATGAGATGATTCCACAGTCAAATTTACTAAGGAAATATCTTCATAACAAGATAGAACCTTCCATTATGACGTGGTTCAAATGCATTAATCTTTTCATGCTATTAACTTCTTCTCCTTCCAATATATATTTTTATTTAATTTTACCAACCTATTTTGTCTTCTAGTCCCCCTATATGCCATCATTCACCTATCTCTGCCTTTTCTTGGCTCTCTCACTCATTCATCTATCAAATTATAGTTTAGCAATATGAAAATTAACCTTGTCTCAGGCTATAATAATTTTGTAAACTCTGTTCGGCCATAATCCACAGCTGCCAAATTGATGACCCAATGAAAAATTCATTTTAACTCCTACAAGTACTGTACAATCACCAGGAGCTCATGAACTTCCATGTGCACCAGATCAAATATTATTTAATTAATGAACATAGACAACATGCGGAGATCAACCTGAAGTACATGAACTGCATATTTCTGAGCAGCAACATCTTGCTCTGCACTAAGCCGAGCATCTTCAGTTACCCTTTGCTCTTGCTCTACCCGCATCAGAACCTAAAAGTATGACTAATTTTATGTGATGAGAAGCCTTACACACATTAACTTTTACTCTTTATGTGAATAGGACATTCAATGAGAACCTGAAGCATTGCCGTTTCTTGTTCTTTCTTGTCAGCAAGGGCT